AAAAAAAAAAAAACATTTATTTGTTATAATGTAATACTTAATGTAATATTGCTACTTAAGGATGGCTTGAGCAAAACTCTTTTACGCCTTAGTAAACCGCGGTATATTGACGTTCGGGAATGGCGCGAGTTTTTCGATTAAGGAAAGTCCTCTGGACGATAAAATGGAGTGAAAATAGAGCACAAAGCTAAGCAAGCGGAAGGCGTAGTGAAAATTTGCCGATAATATTCTTTTTATATTTTAATAATTGGGAGATGGAAATGTGAAAATGATAATTTATCGCGTATCATTTATTAGTCAATTGATTGATTGATATAATATAGTCGACGAATATGAAGAAGTTGATGTTGTGTTTCAAAGGCATTAAATAATCTGCATTGATCGCTGCCTAAAACAGCAATTATAGGCATATTATTATTATTTTATTGAATGATGAGGCGGGGTGGGGGAGAGGGGGTAGAATTATACTCGATTCATCAACTTAAAGAAATCAGTAAAATGTCGTCTAAATACAGTGCGAAAATTGTATGTCCCATCGAATATTAAGGATTTTGTGCTGTTTTTGAAAAGAAAAAAAGAGAGAGAGAAAAAAAGATAATTCAGTTATACTTGCGCTCGGATATTTGAAATTTATAAGGACGTTAATATTTCATAGACGAAAAACTGTAAATAATTATCATTATTATTTATCTAATACACGACAAATATTATTTAATATTGAATATGATTACTGAGAAGCGTAAGCGTAAGTAAATGTTTCTTTTTTTTTTGCTTTATCAAAATATAGAAATTAATTTCAAACGAAATAAAAAATATTGATTTCTTATTTTAAGGTTATTGAAATAAAATTACAAAAATTCATTGGCTCTTGCTGTCATCAACGAACATAATTCAAACATTAAATTAAATACATAAAAATAACATTAAATAAAGAAAAATAATTCACGAACAAATAAATCAAGGTCCACGGATTGCCAAACAACGAATCACAATTTTTATTTCAATAATTTAAAACCATCCAAGGTAATTAAGTCAATGCGACGTGAATACGCGGGGGCTTTGTAATGTTAATTTGAAATATCTTCACTAGAAGATTTGCTAGCTTCAAAGAGTATCGTATCGATTCTTCTATTGATCCATCCTCGTTCCATTCCCAGTCTTCTCTACGATAATTTACAAATATCGTAATTCGCCCTTCTTAAACAAAACAAAAAAAAAAAAAAGTACCAGCCAGACAAGCCAATGACGTCATCGATCACGGAAGTAATAGTCGCAACGACGGTGCGATTTTCAATTAAAGAGTCTTAAGCCATTTATTTGTATGCGATAAATACGCCCAATGAAATATTCCAGAACCTTTTTTCTTTCGGCTGTCTCGGCTCCTCGTGGTGCTTCCTCGCTCAGTAGTGGCGAATACGACACTAAAGGCCAAGACAGCATCGTATGTCGAAAATAATCACAAGAAGTAAAATGAGAAACTGCCGTTGATTAGCTTCTTTATAAATGAAATGATTTAGAGGCGTTGAATATTGATAGACTGGCTTATTACGTCCATTCGCTTCATTGTAATTTCAAAGAGTCGAATTAAAGAATTAACTTTTAGCATTTAATTTGACGATGCTTAGCTTACCACCCCTATAATCCACTGTTTTTCAATCAACTTATTTCTTATTTCTTAACGATGATTCTTCATTTGTGAGCTCAACGTGTCATTTTCTTGACAATTCTCTCACCACTATATTGTCTTACTAAAAAAAAAAAGAAAGATAAAAAAAAACACCAAAATTCTAAAAGCAATCAAAATATAAGGCAGTGTATGTTTATTAATGTAGTTTTACGATTTTATTTCTTTCTATTTATACGAATATCTTTGCAAAATGGAGGGAATTACAAATTCTCTACCCTCGATCGCTATTTTATTTATAATTACAATTTTTTCCGATAAGGATACTTCGATCATTCATCGGTAAGTATACATTAAGTAATCGCGTTCCTAATTTAATATATAAATAATAATATGTCGATGAATAAGGTGGAAAAACAAAAACAAAAACAATAAAATGAATAAATCTTATTTGTGTAGTGAAAAAATAATATTTATAACGTTGAGTGAAATGTTAAAGTGTATGATTATTGACCGAATATTATGAAAGTAGGCGATTCAACAACATGACTAAGAGGATAATGAGAAAGTTTTAAAATAAAGTAAATAATTTTAATTTTCCTATAAAATAGTTTGCAAGTACAATTATTTCATTTGTTGAGTGATTATAATTTTTATTTCTCAAGTCTCGAGACAGAATTTATTGTACTTAAATAATGTACCATGATAAAGTACATTTACGAGGATATTATTTTCCAATGAAATTTTTTTATATAAATTCTGTCAAAATAATAATCTCACATTTAAAACAATCTTACATTCAAAAGTTAATTAATAATAATTAGTATTTCTATGGCATTGCAATATTTACTGCGCATAACTTTTATCGATCGACCGTTTAAACTAAGAGAGGATTTACATAATTTTACTAGTACGAATCGTAGAAAATTGTTTGAAATTTTTTTCTGTTTTTTTCTGTTTTTTTTTAGAAAAATTCAAGAAAAGAACAAAAGGAACATTTTCATTCACATTTCATTGTCACAAAAAAAAAAAAACACACGCACGCACACGCACAATTCCATTAATCTGTTCTGAATCGAAGGTTGACGTGTTTTAACATTTACCGGAAAAATAAACATTTTTTTTATTATTTAAAGTCATAATGGGAGCGCATGAATATATTTTTAAAGGTACGTTAATCTTTTATCCGGCGATTTATATATTTTACATGTTTGCATGCGCTCGGTCTCTCAAAAGCGTCTTAAATAGCGTTCGAACTTTCAAACGCGGATCGTTCCACCATTCATTCGAGATGATTTAGATGGACAAACGCCGTGCCCATAAGCGTCTATGCCCAGTCAACGCAATGAATCAGTTGGCTAATATGGAATTGACGAAGGGACTGAGTGTAAGTGATCAGGTACCG